AGTAAATAGAAATCCAAACAAAGGCAAAATTTTGTGAATTTCTCAATAATTATCAACTCCCAATAACTTTTTACTGGTACATGACCCAAGATCTATAGCTTCCAGCTCCTTGACTGTACTGTTTACACCAAAAAGTTCCAAAATTATGTTGTTAGGATAAAGCTTTCTTAAAACCCACAACATTTCAAAACAGCTTTGTAAATCACAAATTAGTTTAAAAACTGTTGTGTAAAATCCAAGATAGTTTCAAAACAGTCTTATAAAACCCAAATTAGTTCCCAAACTAACATGTTTTCTACCTACATAATTGAAAATAGTTCAACTATTCTACAAAAATTGAGAGAAAGATCTTTACAAAATCTATATGTACAAGAATATATATCTGAGATGTCATTTATTCAATCTCTTGAAGATTGAAGTGTAAAATCTCTCACAATTTCAACTAATAACTGGCATACAGCAGTTAGCATAAAGCATGTCTAGTTATACATTAGAAGATTATACTGTATATCATAAAGAAGCTTGTAAAATATGTTTTTATACAGTTAACAGTATCATGATATACATAATATTTAAAAGTGAGCAGCAGAGTTTTTACACACCAAGCTGTAGCTTTGTGATAAGAAACAGGGATTAAATTGAAAACAAAAGATGAGTACAATCATCAACAATGCTCCGAGGGAGCCACACACAAGACTTACATAAAAATGTGATAACGCTGTGCTTACTACCAAAAATGAAGGACAAGAACTGCTCTAATAGTCACACACAAAACTTTGATAAACCTGTGATAATACTATGATTACTATCAGAGATGATGTCAAAATATACCCAGTACTGCATAAACATTTCTCTACACCATCCTACATAAACAGTTCTCTACACGATCCTACATAAACATTTCTCTACGCCATCCTACATAAACAGTTCTCTACACGATCCTACATAAACAGTTCTCTACACGATCCTACATAAACAAGTCTCTACACGATCCTACATTAACAGTTCTATACACGATCCTACATAAACAGTTCTCTACACGATCCTACATAAACAGTTCTCTACACGATCCTACATAAACATTTCTCTACACGATCCTACATAAACAGTTCTCTACACGATCCTACATAAACAGTTCTCTACACGATCCTACATAAACAGTTCTCTACACGATCCTACATAAACAGTTCTCTACACCATCCTACATAAACAGTTCTCTACACCATCCTACATAAACAGTTCACTACACGATCCTACATAAACATTTCTCTACACGATCCTACATAAACAGTTCTCTACACGATCCTACATAAACAGTTCTCTACACCATCCTACATAAACAGTTCTCTACACCATCCTACATAAACAGTTCTCTACACGATCCTACATAAACATTTCTCTACACGATCCTACATAAACAGTTCTCAACACGATCCTACATAAACATTTCTCTACACCATCCTACATAAACAGTTCTCAACACGATCCTACATAAACAGTTCTCTACACCATCCTACATAAACAGTTCTCTACACCATCCTACATAAACAGTTCTCTACACCATCCTACATAAACAGTTCTCTACACCATCCTACATAAACAGTTCTCTACACGATCCTACATAAACAGTTCTCTACACCATCCTACATAAACAGTTCTCTACACCATCCTACACAAACAGTTCTCTACACGATCCTACATAAACATTTCTCTTCACGATCCTACATAAAGAAGTCTCTACATGATCCTACATAAACAGTTCTCTACACGATCCTACATAAACATTTCTCTACACGATCCTACATAAATAGTTCTCTACACGATCCTACATAAATAGTTCTCTACACGATCCTACATAAACAGTTCTCTACACGATCCTACATAAATAGTTCTCTACACGATCCTACATAAACAGTTCTCTACACAATCCTACATAAACAGTTCTCTACACGATCCTACACAAACAGTTCTCTACACAATCCTACATAAACATTTCAGTTGTGTAATCATATTACAAAATGGCTACAGTGGTTACCTTGTTGAAGTTTGATCAAACAGAGAACAAAAACAAATCATCTCTTTCTTTTCCTTACAAAATCAAACTCCAAATATGCTTTTTTTCTCAATGGTGTAAAAGAAACTTAAGGAGTAATTAAGACTTTTTGTTCCTGATGAGTTATGTTTGATTTTGAAACAAAATGTAAAAATTAGACTTTGTCAGGATAATCTCAGGATCACTTCATGTACGTTTGATATCATTTTTACTTCCTAGTAATGTTTCAGGCCAAATTTGGTTGGAATCTACTCAGAGGTTAAGAAGGAGTGGTGTTTTGAAGCACAATATTGTCATAGTCTAACATCCCATTTTGGGGCCCCATCCCGAAGTCCCTAGGGGTTAAAACAACTTTCTGAACATAAGAATTAATTATCCACCCCTAATGATGTTTCAACAAAATCTGAATGAAATCCGTTCAAGCATTAAAAAGGAATAGCTTTTTAAGGCAAAATATTGTCCAACAATTTATTTTCATGATTATCAGTGAAAATACACCTTACATTCAATCAGAGTGAGATTTCCTGAGTCACACAAAGATATCTGTTTTTGATGTGTTCACAATCTAAATATTTCTACAGTGTTTGATTCACGTTTAAACTGTGATAACTCTATAAAGAATTTTAACGTCTGTAAAATGGTGCCTTAACTCACCTCGTGACACTGGTTTCTGGGATTTGTTTGTGACCAGCTGGTTCACTGTCTGGACTGTGTAGTTTGGGGGACGTGGATAATTCTATAATAAACAAGGTCGCAAATGTTGAGATAGCACAAAATATATTCTATGTACATAATTGTAGTTTTTATTCTTCCAACTGTTTATTGGATTGGATGCCACATTCAGTTCACTACATATCATAGTTCTATGATCTAGAAAACTTTTATAACATTAAAGCATCTACTAATTAAAGTTATTGACAATATGAAATGTATGATTACGTACGTTTGGTTCACGAAGGTAGCGGGCTTTCTCTATTAGATAATGGACATCAGCCACAGGAGGGTAGCGCATCAGACAGTTGAGGCATTGTGGGTAATCACTTGCCAACACTAAAAAAAAATCGCACTGATTGATCATCAATATTGCTAGGGAAAATCTCTGTATTCTCTGAGTTAGCATCAACTCCATGACTCAGACAAATAACATAAGGATCTAACAACGTTGGTGGTGAGATTTATATCACTGTTTATCAGCTTACAACGGTTCCTAACAATGGACATCAACGATAGTCTGGTACCTATAGCAATCTGGACCTCACCTGTGGCAGGAAGACATGGATTTCTGACTTGTAACAATGAGAAATTTACTTACAGAGATCTCTGATGTACAGCAACATGGAAGCAAAGACGTAATCAACAAGGTCAAAACCAATGCCATCAGCGAATAGGGAGTCCCATAAAACCAGCAGGTCCTGCATGGGGAATTCTCGTCCAAACAGGAGACGAACCCAGCGTCTAGCAAAGAAATGTTCATTTCAACCAACAGATATTTACAATCAATGTACAATCTACATCTTGGGATCAGGTAATATCAGGTAATGAAATAACCTGTATCATGTGAAAACCTGTCTTATGTGAAACCTGTCTGATGTGAAACCTGTCTTTTGTGAAACCTGTCTGATGTGAAACCTCTCTGATGTGAAACCTGTCTGATGTGAAACCTGTCTTATGTGAAACCTGTCTGATGTGAAACCTGTCTTATGTGAAACCTGTCTGAAACCTGTCTTATGTGAAACCTGTCTGATGTGAAACCTGTCTGATGTGAAACCTGTCTTATGTGAAACCTGTCTGATGTGAAACCTGTCTTATGTGAAACCTGTCTGATGTGAAACCTGTCTGAAACCTGTCTTATGTGAAACCTGTCTGATGTGAAACCTGTCTGATGTGAAACCTGTGTTCTGTGAAACCTGTGTTCTGTGAAACCTGTCTGATGTGAAACCTGTCTGATGTGAAACCTGTCTCCACTGGCTGGTCAGTTTCATGCCTTATTTCCTTTATATAATATTTTGTGTCATTGTTACTATTAATATAACATGAATTATTCCTTCTCCAATTATTTTTGCTTTTGTCATGTTAGCAATATGGCATACATGTTAACAGTACAGCATACATATTAACAGTACAGCATATATGTTAACAGTACAGCATACATGTTAAAAGTACAGCATACATGTTAGCAGTACAGCATACATGTTAACAGTATGGCATACATGCTAACAGTACGGCATACATCCTAACAGTACAGCACACATCCTAACAGTACAGCATACATGTTAACAGTACAGCATACATGTTAACAGTACAGCATACATGTTAACAGTGCAGCATACATGTTAACAGTACAGCATACATGTTAACAGTACAGCATACATGTTAACAGTACAGCATACATGTTAACAGTACAGCATACATGTTAACAGTACAGCATACATGTTAACAGTATGGCATACATGTTAACAGTACAGCATACATGTTAACAGTGCAGCATACATGTTAACAGTGCAGCATACATGTTAACAGTACAGCATACATGTTAACAGTACAGCATACATGTTAACAGTGCAGCATACATGTTAACAGTACAGCATACATGTTAACAGTACAGCATACATGTTAACAGTGCAGCATACATGTTAACAGTACAGCATACATGCTAACAGTACAGCATACATGTTAACAGTATGGCATACATGTTAGCAGTACAGCATACATGTTAACAGTATGGCATACATGTTAACAGTACAGCATGCATGGTAACAGTATGGCATACATGTTAACAGTACAGCATACATGGTAACAGTATGGCATACATGTTAATCATATGGCATACATGTTAGCAGTACAGCATACATGTTAACAGTATGGCATACATGTTAGCAGTACAGCATACATGTTAACAGTATGGCATACATGTTAACAGTACAGCATACATGGTAACAGTATGGCATACATGTTAATCATATGGCATACATGTTAACAGTACAGCATACATGTTAACAGGATGGCATACATGTTAGCAGTACAGCATACATGTTAACAGTATGGCATACATGTTAACAGTATGGCATACATGTTAACAGTATGGCATACATGTTAACAGTACAGCATACATGGTAACAGTATGGCATACATGTTAACAGTACAGCATACATGCTAACAGTACAGCATACATGTTAAAAGTATGACATACATGTCAGCAGTACAGCATACATGTTAACAGTACAGCATACATGTTAAAAGTATGACATACATGTCAGCAGTACAGCATACATGTTAGCAGTACAGCATACATGTTATCAGTATGGCATGCATGTTAAAAGTACAGCATACATGTTAACAGTGTGGCATACATGTCAGCAGTATGGCATACAAATCTCAGATTCACATGTACCAGCAGGTTACAAAAGTTTCAAAAATATTATACACATAACCAGGCAGTTGTAACCACAAATGTTCCATACAGCATCCATACAACTGATCTACAGTTTGTATGTTTGTGGCATGACCTGTGACCTGTGATCTTTGACCTACATTCCATAAATCTGTGGTGCAATATCAAGTCTCTCAAGATGAAGATGAAGCTCGGGGTCAAACTTCTTTAAGATGTAGTCATGGACACGGGTCAGTTTGGACACAATGGCGATGGACGAGTTTGTATCCTGTGGACGTGCAAACAAGGTCACTGTTACCTTGTCCTTTGTCATCTGTAATTGTACAAGGAAACTTTATTAAGGAAATCATCCACCAATTCTTTAATTAAATGAAAAGGAATTTTGTTTTTTGACATATCTTAAAGAAAACGTTCTAAAATGACATGTTTTTAAAACCCAGCTGTTACCAATAACAAATAAACATGCAGTTTCAAATCTGAATATATTAGCATCATATTTGTTTTCCAACAGAAACTGTTTGCATGGATACCTTTGGAGCCATATCCTTGGAGTTGTACCATGGTTCTACCGTCTCCATGATCTGACACAGCATAGCACTGTTAACAAAGTACATATGTCTTACATTAACAAAGAATATATTCTAACCTGTCTATAAAGGTCGAGGGAACAGAGAAAAGTGGCCTTTATAGCCAGGTAGCCCTTTATATAGAGAGCTCAATTACTATGAATTGTATTACATCAAGATCAATACAAAGTGACCATTATAGACAGGTGGTCTGTATACAATTAGAGCGTATAAGACAGGTTTGACAGTATTAAGTATATCTATACCTACTTTTTAAATCACTTTCACACTTACCCAGGTATTGACAATTACTATTGCTTACTATTTACAATCATTAATTTACTTCAGGTTTTTTTTTGCTTGAATTTTAGAGAATTAGATCTTTTGAACTTCTTTTGTCTTGTGGAAGTTTGTTTGATGTGAGGTAAGTCTACAGATTATATCACTCTCAGACACATACTAGGCATCGTGTTCCAGATATGTGGGGTCCATCATCTCCTTGACAATTTCTCTGAAAATAAAATGATTGGTTAAATAAATCCCTTCTGCATATGATGTCATAACTCATCCCTGAGGTACAAACCTCAGCAACTATTCATATGTTAAAATCTTCAATGCCTCCATACTTATCCAGCACTACACCTATGTGGTAACACGCTGTCTTACACCTAGGTGGTAACATGCTGTCTTACACCTAGGCGGTAACACGCTGTCTTACACCTAGGCGGTAACACGATGTCTTACACCTATGTGGTAACACGCTGTCTTACACCTAGGTGGTAACACGCTGTCTTACACCTAGGCGGTAACACGCTGTCTTACGTCTTACACCTAGGCAGTAACACGATGTCTTACACCTAGGCGGTAACACGCTGTCTTACACCTAGGCAGTAACACGCTGTCTTACACCTAGGCGGTAACACGCGGTCTTACACCTAGGCGGTAACACGATGTCTTACACCTAGGTGGTAACACGCTGTCTTACACCTAGATATCTGGGGTTTGATTCCCCAAACAGATGGGAAAATGTGAGGGGTCCAGTGCCCTCTCACATGGATTTTCCAGATAAATTCCTCCACCAGTAAGACCACACCTGCCTTCCATCTTTGCTAACAGTAAGACCACACCCACCCTTCCATCTCTGCTAACAGTAGGACCACACCCACCCTTCCATCTCTGCTAACAGTAGGACCACACCCACCCTTCCATCTCTGCTAACAGTAAGACCACACCCACCCTTCCATCTCTGCTAACAGTAGGACCACACCCACCCTTCCATCTCTGCTAACAGTAAGACCACACCCACCCTTCCATCTCTGCTAACAGTAGGACCACACCCATCCTTCCATCTCTGCTAACAAGAGCGTTAAGTATAAAATGGACAACTTGTATAGATTTTGTTGTAAAACTGATAAAAGTAAAATCTATTTATTGTTCAAGACAATAACAGAGTATTTGTTAGCATTCCTGAAGAACTGAAATAGATAGTCATGGGCTTATTAAAAGCTACCTGCCCATCACTGGATGGATATGGTCATACTCGTAAATGGTGGTAAAACTTTCCTGGTTCTGGTTAACAATAAAACATGCAGACACATGGGACAGAATATCTCTGAAATCCTAAAAATTCACTAAATATGTCGAATTCTACACCCTCAGAATCTGAAATCAAACTTCCCAATCTAGCCATTTGATTGGCTAGACACCTGACTTGATGTAAACAGACATTGATTAATAATGCAAACAGACACTAACTTGATGTAATCAGAGACTGACTTGATGTAATCAGGCACTGACTTGATGTAATCAGAGACTGACTTGATGTAACCAGAGACTGACTTGATGTAATCAGAGACTGACTTGATGTAATCAGAGACTGACTTGATGTAATCAGAGACTGACTTGATGTAAACAGACTGACTTGATGTAATCAGAGACTGACTTGATGTAATCAGAGACTGACTTGATGTAATCAGAGACTGACTTGATGTAATCAGACACTGACTTGATGTAATCAGAGACTGACTTGATGTAATCAGAGACTGACTTGATGTAATCAGGCACTGACTTGATGTAATCAGGCACTGACTTGATGTAAACAGACACTGACTTGATGTAATCAGAGACTGACTTGATGTAAACAGAGACTGACTCGATGTAATCAGATACTGACTTGATGGAAACAGATGGTGACTTGATGTAATTCCCAAAACACCAGGCCAGTAACCCCAGCATAACATAAGTAGAAAACCTTTGTTTTTTTTGTTTTATGCCCAAAGAAACAGGAAGAATAATTTTAATGTAGGCCAGATCTTGTAATAGCTGGTGGCTAAAACACGATGCAAGAGACCTTCCACATGTTATCTATAGGAATTTGGATAAAGTATCTTTTTAAAGGACAACACCAGGACAATACAGGATGATGGGTGTGTGATGTCACATCCTTACAAACACAAACAGTCTTCAGTAAAGATTAGAACATACACACATCAGATAATTCACCTAAGAATAGGAGGCTGCATATGTATAATGCTTTACTGTCTGAGCTATTGTAATAACAATGACCAAACTGTAATAACCACATGAAAATGATATCAGGACACTCTAATGCATCAATATTACATCATACAAGTTTTCAAAACAGTTGATCTCTATGTGACCAGGCAACTGAGTAAGGTAATTCATATGAATATAGCCTTCTAAGCCTTTCATTCCATCAAGCTAAATGTCAAATATCATAACTCCAGACTTAATAGTCAATCACATAAAATCTCATAGTCCTTCACCACAACGTGCTACAGATAAAAACTCAGTAATTCAAAACTTACAGATCCTCAGAAGAAATCACATGAAGGATAGATAATGTAATGTAGAAGAGATTACAAGAGATGATGGAGGGATCTTGGCACCCACCATTGTCTGATCTTTATATGCTCTTTGTTTTCCCTTTTTTCTCTTCTCTTCTCTGTTTTGCTCTTAACGATAAGATATCTGAACTTTCCTTTGTAGAAATAGTAATGATAATATTTACCTCCCAAATCCAAAATTGCCACCTGGATAATATTTACCTCCCAAATCCAAAATGGCCACCTGGAAGCCATTTTGTTTTTTCTGATCAGTCCCAAAATCAAACGAGCACAAGGAGGTACCAAAGGGAACATACATATGAAATTTGAGAGATATCCATTCAGTACTTCTTAAGAAATAGCTATAACAATCTTTACTAGGCAAAATTCAAGATGGCTGCCTATTGGCCATTTTGTTTTTCTGGTCAATCCCAAACTCAAACAGGAACAAATAGGGACCTAAAAGAACCTACATATGAAATTTAAGAAAGATCCATCCAGTACTGCTCAAATAGCAGAAATAGAAATAACAAACTTTCAAAGTCAGAATAGAAGATGGTCGTCTTTCCACCATTTTGTTTTTCTGATCAGGCCCAAAATGAAATGGGCACAACTAGGGACTTCAAGGAACCTACATATGAAATTAAAAAATGATCCATCCTGTACTTCTCAAGAAATACGGATAACAAAAACTATTTATGGACAGACAGACAACGGATGGACAGACAAAACACAGATGCAGAGCGATTTGAATAGCCCATCTGCTGATGGTGGACCAATGAACACCATAACAATGCATTACTCAGAGGCAATATTTGCCAGGTGAGCCAAAATAAAGAAAATGAGATCGTGAGATATCAAAAATTAAAACATGAAATGAATTCAACACCAGAGAATGACATATCTGCTATCATAGAAACTCATTTTTTAATAACAAATGTTAGCATTAAGAAAAAAGCAGTAAAATGTTTTAAAATGATTTATGTAAGTATTCATCTGTTTTGTGTTTTCACAAAACTTATTTATCCTTGTGCTATTTCATATTTCTATATATTTTAATTTGAATTCACCAAACACACTCTCCTAATGAAAACTTAACTAAGCAATGGCTCATATGTCTTGTACACAATGTTATCACAGTTACACTCATGGATGCACAACAGCAAAACAAAATTTTCATTGGTCTCCTAATTTTTTGTATTATTATTCAGTTGTGAACAAGATTTTAAGTCAATTTATACCAAATCTTTGCATACGAATTGAGAGAAAATAATCTAACTGTATGTCATGCAGTTATGATAGAGTTTTGGAATTTCATCTTTCAGTACAATTTATTCATAAATCTAATATTCAAAAAACCATCAAATGAATGTGATGCCCTGAAAGATATCAATTACTTGACCCTCTGTCTTAACACTTTCATTTATTTGTCTTCTTAAGATTCTAAATTTTACTGTCTAATTGAACATATAGTTCTTATTCCTGACAAATCTTTACAGCATTTTGTTAGGCTGAGCTGCACGTAAAAAGAAAGCAGAATCTTAATACACAAGTATGCAATACATTGTACATACAAAGTGAAAGTAGAACCCATTCCCATATTAAATGAAATCAGTCATATCACATTTGAGATATAGTAAAAAGCTCAATATATAACAATGCATATTTATCAAGGAAGGACAGGAACTGTCCAGAACCAAACCTGTTGGCCGTCGGGATCCACCTGAAAATCAGAGCTTACTATATACCAGGTAGATAACAGGTAACCTGGTTATTTATCACATCAACCTGAATTATTGTGATGTCACTCTGGATAATGTAGGTAATTAATTAATGATGAGTTCAAGATTAAACAGATAATTGAGTGCTGAAATGTGGATAATTCAAATATGGATAATATGGATAATGAGTTTTCAAATTTCAAAACTATAGTGTATTTTCCCCAATTACTTTTATATAAATACATTCAAGTCATTTTCTATGAACCTGCTTCCACAGCAAAAGTAAGATTTTGTTTATACCAATCCATTCCCAGTAAATCTGATACAAATCCATTGGTCTATCACAAAGAAGATCAAGGGAAAACTCTGGCAGGTTATTTTGTCTACTGTTTACAAAACAAATTCTTACGCTGCCACAAAGTAATAAGAAAATCCTAATTTAAACAAACAATACTTAACTTCAATCCCCAACAGCCTAATATAAAGAGTATAATAAGGTATCTAAACTGTAAACTTGGAGATATGCTCTCTAGGAAAATCAGTAAATATTTTTAGTTACAGAATACATATCATATATGAATATAATATATAACTATATACATGTACTTTTATATACCATAATGGCTCAACCATGACTACTCACCCCAGTGATTCCACCTCATTTGCATGTAGGAAAGCCTGGTGATCGCAGTGGAGAACAAAAATCAGAGGAGCTAACAATTCGTGCATTCCCTGTAAAAACAAATGTAAATGTGGCTAAACAAGAAACATGGTAGATATCCAAACTGTATCGACATTAAAGTCAAAAATTAAAGTATTTTTTTATTGTTCCATTATCAAAACATTTAATTTCATCATGATAAACACCAATCAATAAATAGTTATTCCTACTTTTAACTTTGAGGTAATAAAAAAAATACTGATTAATTTTTCAGAATTTGACCTTTTTACTAAAAACTATTCTAAAGTCATGAAAACTTATTTTCATGGGGTTGAATTTTTGTGTTTCGGGGAACAATTGATTTGTTGGATAAACATAGCTCAGTAACATACCAATATTGACCTGTTTTTGGGTGAATATGATGATTTATCAGCTTGAAAAAGTCAAATTTCCAGAGGCCTTATTTCTTCTTGGATTAAGATGAAATCAACAAAGACAATAAATCCCCCACGGAACAATTTTACTGTACATCCTTATGAAACTGACTCTTAAAATATTTACAAACAGCTACATTTATCAGCAGTATACCATAAATCTTTTGCTGTTAACATATATTTGCATGACAGCCCTTACTGAAACAAAATATTTTCAGTGTTTTGGAGATCAGATCCCCCCCACCCCCATAAATTCAATTTTCAGTTTTGTTATATGTCTAATGTTTATGTCCTATCAGAAATATTCCTTCATGTGAAGTTGTAGTCCTTGGAGAATCCTCTTGTCTCAGGCCTTGTCAGACAAAAAAGTTTTATAGGTGATTATGTCTACTGTCTTTACAAAAAGAATCTTAGACTGCCACAAAGTAATAAGGAAAAGTGAGGATCTTTAAACTATCAATGGGAAGAGAAAATCAACATTTTATTGTCATAAAATGTAAGTCCATAATATCTTTGAATCAGAAAAACTTCAGCAACATAGAGGCTGTACCTGTTTGTACAAGATATTGGTATGGGAACGGCTATAACAGAACAGCAAGTTTATCATCTGCTCCCGAAGCTCAGGGTTTTGAAAAAACTGAATCTCTGGAAAGCTACAGAACAAACAAAAAAAAAAAACTAAAAAAAAAGAAAATATTGAAATAATACAATGTACAATCATGCAATTTCTGAAAGATTTCGTAATAAAACACAGTATCAGGTCAACAGGGAAACACGACGCTAAACATGCGTTAAGTGAGAGACCAGAGAAAAGTTTCCAAATTTAAAAAAATGACATTTCCTCTTTTTCAGAAATTGGAAACCTCCTACCTTGCTTTGATCAAGTAATACACAAATATTCAACATGCAACACATATACAAGATAAGTATGTATCCAATAATAAGCCCACCCATTTTATCACAGTTCAACAGAATTAAATATTCTTTCATTGTCCTGTAATAAACCCACTACTGACTTTGAATCCAATATTAATACATTAACACTCTTGGCTTATTGCAGGATAAATACGGTACTTACACAGATCACTGACACACACAAATGACACAAACACATATGGTATCATGCATAGGTGACAAAGGGTCTCTGCCATGAATTTCAGCAATGCACAAAGTAAGTAGACCTATCCTCAAATTTTACTGCCATTACTATACAGGGAAGGTCAAACAATATAAAAGTTATGTCATCTAACCATTTTAATCCATGACATTAAAGCAGGGGAAGTCTTAAAGCCTAGGCTCCCAACAAACTTTGATATCATAATAATCCAAGGGACATAACTCTATATAAACAGTGGACAAAGGGCCAAATTCTGTAGCATTTCAGAACAAGACACAAATAAAAATTAGTGAAATTTCAGATAAAAGATCATAGACATGACAAAGTGTCTTTCAAGCATAGTGTTTTATGGCTGGGCATACGTTATATGCCTTAAACATGAGAATAAATAGTGCACAAAATGATGGGAAAACGTTACAGTGTTGGACTGTACCTGACACAGAGAAACATCCTGACCGATGTGGAGTTCCACATTGAGGACAAATGTGGATTTTCACAATTAATAGGACAAATGTAGAGATTAAGAATGAGGACAAATGTGGAGTTCTACATTGAGTAGGACAAATGTGGAGATGTACATTGAGCAGGACAAATGTGGAAATGTACAATGAGTAGGATAAATGTGGAGATGTACATTGAATAGGACAAATGTGGAGATGTACATTGAGTAGGACAAATGTGGAGATGTACATTGAATAGGACAAATGTGGAGATGTACATTGAGTAGGACAAATGTGGAGATGTACATTGAGTAGGACAAATGTGGAGATTTACAGTGAGCAGGACAAATGTGGAGATTTACATTGAGTAGGACAAATGTGGAGATTTACATTGAGTAGGACAAGTGTGGAGATTTACATTGAGTAGGACAAGTGTGGAGATTTACATTGAGTAGGACAAATGTGGAGATGTACATTGAATAGGACAAGTGTGGAGATTTACATTGAGTAGGACAAGAGTGGAGATTTACATTGAGTAGGACTAATGTGGAAATGTACATTAAGTAGGACAAATGTGGAAATGTACATTGAGTAGGACAAGTGTGGAGATTTACATTGAGTAGGACAAATTTGGAGATTTACATTGAGTAGGACTAATGTGGAAATGCACATTGAGTAGGACAAGTGTGGAGATTTACATTGAGTAGGACAAGTGTGGAGATTTACATTGAGTAGGACAAATGTGGAGATGTACATTGAATAGGACAAGTGTGGAGATTTACATTGAGTAGGACAAGAGTGGAGATTTACATTGAGTAGGACTAATGTGGAAATGTACATTAAGTAGGACAAATGTGGAAATGTACATTGAGTAGGACAAGTGTGGAGATTTACATTGAGTAGGACAAATTTGGAGATTTACATTGAGTAGGACTAATGTGGAAATGCACATTGAGTAGGACAAGTGTGGAGATTTACATTGAGTAGGACAAGTGTGGAGATTTACATTGAGTAGGACAAATGTGGAGATTTACAGTGAGCAGGACAAATGTGGAGATTTACATTGAGTAGGACAAATGTGGAGATTTACATTGAGTAGGACAAGAGTGGAGATTTACATTGAGTAGGACAAGTGTGGAGATTTACATTGAGTAGGACAAATGTGGAGATGTACATTGAATAGGACAAGTGTGGAGATTTACATTGAGTAGGACAAGAGTGGAGATTTACATTGAGTAGGACAAATGTGGAAATGTACATTGAGTAGGACAAGTGTGGAGATGTACATTGAGTAGGGCAAATGTGGAGATGTACATTGAGTAGGACTAATGTGGAGATGTACATTGAGTAGGACAAGTGTGGAGATTTACATTGAGTAGGACAAATGTGGAGATTTACATTGAGTAGGACAAGTGTGGAGATTTACATTGAGTAGGACTAATGTGGAAATGTACATTAAGTAGGACAAATGTGGAAATGTACATTGAGTAGGACAAGTGTGGAGATTTACATTGAGTAGGACAAATTTGGAGATTTACATTGAGTAGGACTAATGTGGAAATGTACATTGAGTAGGACAAGTGTGGAGATTTACAGTGAGTAGGACAAGTGTGGAGATTTACAGTGAGTAGGACAAATGTGGAGATTTACATTGAGTAGGACAAGTGTGGAGATTTACATTGAGTAGGACAAATGTGGAAATGTACATTGAGTAGGACAAGTGTGGAGATGTACATTGAGTAGGACAAATGTGGAGATGTACATTGAGTAGGACTAATGTGGAGATGTACATTGAGTAGGACAAGTGTGGAGATTTACATTGAGTAGGACAAATGTGGAGATTTACATTGAGTAGGACAAGTGTGGAGATGTACATTGAGTAGGACTAATGTGGAAATGTACATTGAGTAGGACAAATGTGGAAATGTACATTGAGTAGGACAAATGTGGAAATGTACATTGAGTAGGACTAATGTGGAAATGTACATTGAGTAGGACAAGTGTGGAGATTTACATTGAGTAGGACAAATGTGGAGATTTACATTGAGTAGAACAAATGTGGAGATTTACATTGAGTAGGACAAATGTGGAAATGTACATTAAGTAGGACAAATGTGGAGATGTACATTGAGTAGGACAAGTGTGGAGATTTACATTGAGTAGGACAAATTTGGAGATTTACATTGAGTAGGACAAGTGTGGAGATTTACATTGAGTAGGACAAAGTGAAAGCCCCTAGTATTATATGTATTATCAGCCCGGACTAAAACATGCAGGCAATAATACTGGGGTAAGGTATGCAGTAACAAGCCAAGTTTTATCACAATCTAAACAGATTGTAACATATATAGTTCCTAGTACAGCTACAGATGACTAACACCTAGTTTACATTCTGGATATTAATTGGCCAATACAAATATCAATGTGACACCATACATACATGAACAGAAATTAACAGTATATTTAGAGGTTTGGTACATTCTAAAATCCATCATTTTCATTCAATCATTTATGATTTTTCTACTGAATAATGAAATATCTATTTTCAGCATTTACAGAGTAAATGTGTCTGTCATCTTCACATACTTTAGAAAGCCAGTGTTATTTAACAGTGTCCAATATTTCTGGAGATCAATATACAAAGTCAGGATGGTTGGACATTGATATTTGCCTGGTAGCGTGTATGTGGTGTTCACTCACATACATGAATTATTTTAAAGAATGTTACAAAGACATTCAAACATACACAAGAATGAAAAGATCAATAATTTAAAATGATGAGATAGTAAGATGACATGTAGTCTTCTGAATTTTGTTACAGAGAGAAAAACCTGATATCAAAGACGGTGTTCTTCCAAATGACAATACATTGTACCCAAAGTTGTAAATATTTTAAATATCTTAAGTATTTGTGAAATTAAAATAACTTGAATTTAATTGAACTGCATACAATAACTTCAAATAATTGGATTTTTTGGTTTGTTTTTTGTTTTGCAATTCTAATTTCTAACAAAAATTCGGAAGACTTTTGCTAAAAATGAAGGAAAGAAGAACGAGAGAAAAACTCTAAAAGTAAAAAGACTGAAGTACAACATCCGGGGGATCACCTGTCGGTAGGAAATTTCAGTGTTAATCTTTGCATAGATGAAAAGTACATCCACCATCAGGTTTCGCACTTGATTTGACTGAAAAAAGGCAATCCTTGGATAGCTGTAAACACAGAAAATTTCTAGGTTAAATATAACTTGTAAGTCATACTAATAACAGTGAATTCTGCAAAGGTGTTAAAGTGTTACTCATGTCAGGTGACACTATTGACCAATCTGAAAAACTTGAAAGTATAAAGTATGAAAATATATATAACTACACTATGTCCTGACACGATAAAAGCAAAAATCAAAATTGCAGGCCTGATTCTATCTGTATACGTTTGCTCATCTCATTGCATGTCAAACAAAACACAAACGGCCCTATAAAACATGACAGGATTTTACTAAACATACACGGGGATAACAAATATACTGTAAAACCAGTAACCTTTGTGGAGAATTTTTTTCATTGATTTTGGAGGTACTCTTGACCCCTGTCCAGGAAATTATAAACATAAAGATTCAATGAATTTTTGTAATAGTTGATTTTATGAATACTGTCTATTTACAAAACTCAATTTCCAATAAAACAACAATTTTCTAAAGAGAAAAAAAATTGAAATTTGATCCCCACAAAAATGTATGATTTTACTGTAACACAAGATATTAATCACAGCCTGAAACATAGAAGTGTGAGTATTATCATTTAAAGGAATCTTTAACACCCAATAACAATATATTTCAACTCTGAATACATAAATATACAAAACACTGATATAGCAAATCTGTTTCCTTTGTTGTATTGAGTTTTAAATGACTATTAATTATAAAGTGCCTTTAAAAATACAACTTAAGCTTTTTTTACTTAGTTCCAGGTACAAAATAATTAAATGCTTGATGCAAGGAAGCTGAAATTCCACTAGAATATTGTCTCTTCATGAAGTGACCCAACAAGCACTTGGTCCAGATTACATCAAACTAAATTTTCAAAACTTTTAAAACTTACGTGCGAATCACATCCTGTTTAATGGTCAGTCTCAATTCATTGTCCAAAAAAAACTGATTCCAAGGACTCTGGAGAATAAAGCGTTTTCACAAAATTTCAATAACTTATCTTACATTTGTGATTGGTTAATCTGTTAAGCTTTGTTTTTATCAAATGATCAAATGGCAATCCTAATATAAGGTCAGGAGATTTTTACTGAACTAGGGATAAACCTGATTATGTGATAGTGCCATGTTCCTCTGAAGTCTTGCAGCCAAGGTAGAAATGTATCGCTGCAACAAGAGTTCCTCGGAACTGTATGTGTCGCCTGCATAAAGTGTCACGGTCTCCCAGAAATTGAACTGGATGTGCAACGATCAACCATAAAGTTGTAATACCAAATTTCATTTCTATAACTTGAAGCATAAAGGGAAAACTGCACAAAGTAATATTCCTGAGAAATTTTCTAAGTTGAAAGGGGCATAACTCTGCCAAAAAGGGGTCACAGACAGCCAGGAATCGAACTTAATCTGTACTCTTGCAACAAAAAGCCATATGCCAAATTTCATTTTGATAACTCATAGCATTACCGAAAAAAGTCCACAAAACTTTCGTATGGACGACGACCCATGACGACAGACAAAGTGATCCCTAAGTGTCTGCCAGCTCTGCAGGCAACACAAAACCCAAGAGGCCCATTCGGCCTTTATTGCCTACCTGGTTTAGTTTGTCTGGTCCCGCCCATCCCATCAGAGTAGACCAAAACCCACTGTTCATACAAAATTGATGCCCTTCATTCATGCATGTCTCAGACCAAATTGGGACAGAATCTTGGCATTTATACATCAGAAGAATGATTTTAAACAATTTGCCATATTTCCCCAATTGGGCCTCATCCCTTCCGTCCTATGGGACTGTTATCCACTGTTTATGCAAAACTGATTCTTCTTCCCCCAAGCCACTTTGGCTAAATTAACATCCAGGTATTCCTACAGAAGAAGAATTTTTAAATATATGCTCTATTTCCCCTCTATTGGGCCCTGCCCCTCCCACCTCAAAGGGATGAAACTGAAAGCATATAAAAATGATTCCTCTTCTGATTTCCCCACCCCTCTAACCCCAGATTGCCAAGACCCACTGTATAAACAAAGCTGATTTTCCTTCACCCTAGCATACTTCAGACCAACTTTGAACATTATTCTGCAATTCCTGAAGAAAAAGATTTTAAAGAAATTGATAGAGTTTTCCTCTGGTCCCAGGAAGCAGAGATGCCCCTTTTATACACCCAAGCAGACCTAATCCGGACTATAACTTTAAGATCTTACAGAAATTGATAGAGTTTCCCTATCGGGGCCCCATCCTTCAGGCTTGAGGAGAGGGGGTCAAAACCCCACTGTCCATACAAAATTGGTTCCCTGTCCTCCAGGAATGCTTTACACCAAATGTGATCAAAATTCTATCAGTCATTTAGGACTAATTGTGAGTTAAAGGAAAAAATTGACAGACAATAGACAGATGATGGATGACAGATGCTGCGATATCCCTACAGCTCAATTGGCCCTTTGAGCCAGACGAGCTTAGATATTGCTGCTTAAAATCATTAATGTTTAATGAAGGAAATTTCTAATCATTAATGTTTAATAAAACTAATTTCAAATTTAAAAAATATGTCATGTGACGGTTATCTCTGATGGCCTGATACAGGGATGTCTGCTTTGATATGCATTTGTCTAATTCAGCCTAGAGATACATTACAGAAACACAATGAAAGAAATTATAAAAGTTCTCATCACAGAGAAACAGAGATTAATGTTAGAGGTTGGTTAATATTTAAGGAATATTCATACCTCATCTGCCTGTGACAGTGGATTATTTACAACCAAGTCCGATACAGAGTGGTCCACAGCCTTCCGAGGGTTTATAATCAACTGAAATAAAATCATGCAAAATACAAATGTGGTTTACCATAATAGCTAATGTTAACAAACAGCGACTCCTGTAAAACTGATGCCGTTCTCTAATCAGTTTCTCTTTCAAAGATTTGACAAAAAATTCCTCTTACATATGTTCCAAGAATCCAAGTTTCCTTGTAGACTAAAACAAAGGCATTAGTTATCCTCTGTCTTGTGATCATCAATGTGTCAATCTAATGGTTCATTATCATATGTTCTCAATGGTTAAATTGTTCTCAACTGTGTGAGTTACCTTCTTCTTGAGATCGTCATACTTGTCCCTCCATTCTTTCATTTTAGGGACCCATCTACTCATATCCTCTGGAACCACTTCTAAAAATACCTAAGAATTAAGAAAACCTATTACCTAAACATGTCAACTTGTTTTCTTCATCGAGACACATAACTACATAAAATGTTAAACTTTCTATTTCACAAGAAAAATCATACTCTGTTCCAACAATTTTTCATAATGATGTAAATAAACCACAAATAGTTACATTATTATAGATAAATGGTGCACAGTGATACACAATAAAATCACACTATCACTTGCCATATCAAATCAAATATGTTGGTGACTGTTTGATTTAAGTAATCAACTGAGAACTTACATTATACATTATCTGGACCAGAATAGTATCCCCTATCAACGAGACAATGCGGACATACCTTCCAACAGATACTTCTGAATCGACTGCTCCTAAGGTTTCCTGTCATTGCGAGTGCACGTAACAAGCGACGATAATTCTGTTTTGTAAACAGTTTATCCCACTCCACCCTAATAAAACCAAAACAAAACATGTCAGAGTGAAACTTTTAAGTTTGTGAAAAGCTGTCTTTGTAGAGATCCTGTATTTCTATACGTTTCACTCCTTCTTAATCATGAGATGTCACAAGAGGCCCATAGGGCCTGTATCACTCACCTGGTTCTGTTGAATAAAATTGAATTATTTTAACTAAGGGAAAAGTATTTTAACATCTCTTTCCCCATATCCAAAAGGAGGTTAGATGCATTGTTTGTAAAAAAAAAAGGATTTCTCTTCACCAAATATGTCTTCTTCCATTCCAAAATAAGAAGTGTTTTAAAGAATTTGACCTATTTCCACTATTTAACCCTTCCCCTCACGCTCAAGTGGGCCGGAACCCCCTTCACACCTTGACAAGCATGTCTCAAACCAAATTTGGAGAGAACCTCGGAATTTCTACGTAAGAAGAATGATGTTTAATATTAACAAAGACCCTTGTATGCTGAGCAAATTCTTTTAGATCCATATCATAACTTCTTGTAAGTTACACGATGCCATTCATATCATAAATAAGTATGGCCGTTGTTCTAGAATTTGACCTTTAACCTGATGACCTATTGATGCTAGGATGCAAAACACTATTGTAAACTTCCGCTAAGGCATCGAAGAAACCGCAAAAGTCCATAAGATATTATTGGGATTCATAATAAAAGGTATGATTGATTAAATCCACAACAATGTTATTTTTATTTTCATTCTTCAAATAATTCTGTATACGATTGCAAATGACGCTTCTTGATTATCATTTTCAGTCACAAACATGTGATGGGCAGGTACTTGTGAAAAAAACTCAGCAGTCTGTTTTTCTTTTTATCTTGATGATTTTCCCCCCTTGTCTACAGGTAAGCCAAACCGGTATAAACCGCCACTCGACTCAAGAGGGAAAAGGTGCAGCTCATAATTTAGAAAAAAATACTGTAGTTTTGTAATTTACTACAGACAAAATTATGACAGACAGAGAGACGAATACATGGGAAGACAAATTAGAAAATATACCATTGTGCCAAGACAGTAGCTGAGTAAGGTTCAGTGTCTATCTGTATGTCGTGGTGAGTAAGTTTTTTAGTGTTTATCTATAAACACATGTGAGACATGTTCAGTGTTTACCTGTGTACCTAGGTGAGACAGGTTCAGTGTTTACCTGTGTACCTAGGTGAGACAGGTTCAGTGTTTACCTGTGTACATAGGTGAGACAGGTTCAGCGTTTACCTGTGTACATAGGTGAGACAGGTTCAGTGTTTACCTGTGTACCTAGGCGAGACAGGTTCAGTGTTTACCTGTGTACCTAGGTGAGACAGGTTCAGTGTTTACCTGTGTACCTAGGCGAGACAGGTTCAGTGTTTACCTGTGTACCTAGGTGAGACAGGTTCAGTGTTTACCTGTGTACCTAGGTGAGACAGGTTCAGTGTTACCTGTATACCTAGGTGAGACAGGTTCAGTGTTTACCTGTGTACCTAGGTGAGACAGGTTCAGTGTTACCTGTATACCTAGGTGAGACAGGTTCAGTGTTTACCTGTGTACTTAGGCAAGACAGGTTCAGTGTTTACCTGTGTACATAGGTGAGACAGGTTCAGTGTTTACCTGTGTACCTAGGTGCGACAGGTTCAGTGTTTACCTGTATATCTAGGTGAGACAGGTTCAGTGTTTACCTGTATATCTAGGTGAGATAGGTGAAATGTCTCACTTTACATCCTGATAACACAGTTTCTTAGTGTTAAGCAGTATGTTACAGGTACATACCCATAAGCATTAGAGAGACTGCTGACCCCAAGGGGTTCTATATCAGCAAAGTCCCATGACCCAGTGTCTCCGCTGTCTTTTCTTGCAAGCCGTTTAATGTTGTTGTTGTCTCCATTGATGACCTCGGGACTGCTATCTGTTAAAAAACAATTTCAACAATGGTAACACAATGCAATTCAAGTTTACAATCTACATTACACGTTACATGTTACCATAACACTTCTGAAGTGACTTCTGTGAAGATATATATTTTTAGGGTATTTTAGTACTTTTCACAGTGGATGTATTGCTCTAAAGCATGACTGTACTAATGACAGCTTCTATATGATGTCTATATAGCAATTATTGTGGACATACAAATTCATCATTACACTAATTGGCTGAAAAAAGATAATGCATTAAAATTTGATAGCATTAACCAAGTAGGTATATATAGCCAGTAAAATGTAGACTAAGTTTATTACAAAGCTGAACTTTAAAACATTCCAGTTTTTTCATTTTATTTTTGCCTGTAACAAGATCATTATGTACAAAAGTACCATCTGTCTCCATGTCTCCAAATTGGTCCATCGTACTGAGAATATCCTCCTTGGATGGGGGTACCTTCCCACATGTCGGCATTTGGTCATGTGATTTTGGCTTGTGTCCTGATCGCAACCTATTTATCATTGTATCGAATGACTACCAATTGTCCATCTGAAACAGAAATACATTGACGTAAGTGTCAGAGATCAGATTTCAGGCAAACAATACCAACATCATTCTAATTCATATCACTGAACCACAAATTAGACAGAAACTAGATGTATTAGTGTTAAATGTTGACTCCATATTAGATATGGGTCAATGTTATTATCAATGATGTTGTGGAAAACCTGGTGAGTGTTAGAGTACACACAAAATCTGCAGAAAATTATATATATGTTTCAAAGGGTTAAATGTATAACCAGCAATACCAAACCTTTTCCTCAATGTCAATAGAGTATATACTGTAAAATCACCATTTTTGAGAGCTTATTTTTTTCATCAAGATGGCTTAGAATTGTGAAACAAAAGACACACTGATATAAAATTACCGTAAGTACCCTAAAATAAGCCCCATCCCCTAATGTAAGAGTTTTAGTATTGAAGTTTGGAGTTTATTCATGAACAACTTTAAAATTCATGATTCTGCAAAAAATGAAGAAAGGGATTGATTTGTGGGCAGGGTCTTATTTACAGATAAATACAGACACAGACAATCCATACATATTTATATATAGACTTATATGTTTACGACAGATAAATACAGACACAGACAATCCATACATATTTATATATAGACTTATATGTTTACGACAGATAAATACAGACACAGACAATCCATACATATTTATATGTAGACTTATATGTTTATGACAGCTAAATACAGACACAGACAATCCATACATATTTATATATAGACTTATATGTTTACGACAGATAAATACAGACACAGACAATCCATACATATTTATATATAGACTTATATGTTTACGACAGCTAAATACAGACACAGACAATCCATACATATTTATATATAGACTTATATGTTTACGACAGATAAATACAGACACAGACAATCCATACATATTTATATATAGACTTATATGTTTACGACAGATAAATACAGACACAGACAATCCATACATATTTATATATAGACTTATATGTTTACGACAGCTAAATACAGACACAGACAATCCATACATATTTATATATAGACTTATATGTTTACGACAGCTAAATACAGACACAGACAATCCATACATATTTATATATAGACTTATATGTTTACGACAGATAAATACAGACACAGACAATCCATACATATTTATATATAGACTTATATGTTTACGACAGCTAAATACAGACACAGACAATCCATACATATTTATATATAGACTTATATGTTTACGACAGCTAAATACAGACACAGACAATCCATACATATTTATATATAGACTTATATGTTTACGACAGCTAAATACAGACACAGACAATCCATACATATTTATATATAGACTTATATGTTTACGACAGCTAAATACAGACACAGACAATCCATACATATTTATATATAGACTTATATGTTTACGACAGCTAAATACAGACACAGACAATCCATACATATTTATATATAGACTTATATGTTTACGACAGATAAATACAGACACAGACAATCCATACATATTTATATATAGACTTATATGTTTACGACAGCTAAATACAGACACAGACAATCCATACATATTTATATATAGACTTATATGTTTACGACAGATATTTGTATCAACAGCAGTGATAACAAATAAAAACAAGTTTGTTGTGAAATATAATTTGTAAAGAATGTTGCACACTAGCTTGAACTGTAAGAATGTACTTGTAGCATTAGTCATTTCAATATCACAATTTTCCCATTCCTGCCCACTTCACTATACATGCCCGTTACTGCCCACTTCACTATACATGCCCGTTACTGCCCACTTCACTATACATGCCCGTTACTGCCCACTTCACTATACATGCCCGTTACTGCCCACTTCACTATACATGCCCGTTACTGCCCACTTCACTATACATGCCCGTTACTGCTCACTTCACTATACATGCCCGTTACTGCCTACTTCACTATACATGCTGTCTTTGATTTTTCCAACACCTGTTGTTTCCTATTGCTATGATAATAGTTTAGCTGACTGAAATCTTTTTGTCAGATATATCAGATTTCCTATCTTACTTATCAGGTAGAACAATTTGACAACTCACGTTTTACTATTTGTTCATCACCACTTCACTCAGAATACCATACTTCCAACGCATATGCAGTCAGTCCTTTAATCTGTGTCATGACGCTAATGTAATCTCCCGTTAAGCTGTTGTTAATTAACAAAACTCCATGTTGTTTAAACAACCATCAATTGTTCTCTCAGCAGATTAGGAAAAAGGTATCAAAGTGTCAAGATCACTCATAGACACTGTGTAGGATGTGTGTTGCTATAAAAGGATCTTTAGTGATTTATCACGCTGATGTATTAATATCTTATGATCATTACAGTGGACGAGTGTGACTGACCACTCTGATGTATTAAGATCTTATGATCATTACAGTGGACGAGTGTGACTGACCACTCTGATCTATTAAGATCTTATGATCATTACAGTGGACGAGTGTGACTGACCACTGATCTATTAAGATCTTATGATCATTACAGTGGACGAGTGTGACTGACCACTGATCTATTAAGATCTTATGATCATTACAGTGGACGAGTGTGACTGACCACTCTGATTTATTAAGATCTTATGATCATTACAGTGGACGAGTGTGACTGACCACTGATCTATTAAGATCTTATGATCATTACAGTGGACGAGTGTGACTGACCACTCTGATGTATTAAGATCTTATGATCATTACAGTGGACGAGTGTGACTGACCACTCTGATCTATTAAGATCTTATGATCATTACAGTGGACGAGTGTGACTGACCACTGATCTATTAAGATCTTATGATCATTACAGTGGACGAGTGTGACTTACAGTGGACGAGTGTGACTGACCACTGATCTATTAAGATCTTATGATCATTACAGTGGACGAGTGTGACTGACCACTCTGATCTATTAAGATCTTATGATCATTACAGTGGATGAGTGTGACTTACAGTGGACGAGTGTGACTGACCACTCTGATGTATTAAGATCTTATGATCATTACAGTGGATGAGTGTGACTGACCACTCTGATCTATTAAGATCTTATGATCATTACAGTGGATGAGTGTGACTTACAGTGGACGAGTGTGACTGACCACTCTGATGTATTAAGATCTTATGATCATTACAGTGGACGAGTGTGACTGACCACTCTGATCTATTAAGATCTTATGATCATTACAGTGGACGAGTGTGACTGACCACTCTGATGTATTAAGATCTTATGATCATTACAGTGGACGAGTGTGACTGACCACTCTGATCTATTAAGATCTTATGATCATTACAGTGGACGAGTGTGACTGACCACTCTGATCTATTAAGATCTTATGATCATTACAGTGGACGAGTGTGACTGACCACTCTGATCTATTAAGATCTTATGATCATTACAGTGGACGAGTGTGACTGATCATGCCCAGTCACGCATGACTCTGAAATCTGCATCTTTTGAAGTGAAGTACATGGTTATAGGCCACTGAAGGTTTAAAGTAAGGAACTCTTATAAATCAGTTGAATGTTTTCTTGTGTTCCTGAGGAAAGGCTGAGATTTCAACATTGATGATATATTATTATAAATGTCTACTTACAACTGATTAATCACCTACTTCTTTATCAAATTAACTGGGGATTTTTTCCCATTCTTTCACAATACCTTACACAATAGTGACCAATAAAATTTCATTAGTTCATAGCTTGTTTATACACTGCACATAATTAGTTCTCTATTATAAAGTAAATGTTTTAAAGTGGGAGTCCTCTTGATACTGAAATGTGGTCACCTTATAGCCCTGACTAATGAGGATTTTTCTTTAATCTAGTGGTAGAATGTCTGGCTAGAGACATGAATGATCACTTTAGCCTCACTGAGTTGGTATTGGAGGTGAAAACCATAAAGGAGAAGAGTTCAGAGTATAAAGTCCTAGCTCAAACCCTCACAGCTAGGAGATGTTTTTTTTCAAATCTCCTTCCAATTACACCTGTTTGTATTAGTTATATACATCAAAATAAAGGTAGATCTAAACGTTTTCGTTTTGAAGTCAAAATATAAACCAATCACACCTCAAATTTCAAGATACAATCCACAACTACACAATAGGTTTCATTTCAATGGCAAAATGATAGATTCTTGTTTGTGATTGTACCTGTACACATGAAATAAGCATAAAATCAAAATGGTATTTTAGCTGATTTTGTGTTTAAACATGCTCTTCACGAAATGCTGTAATTAGTCCTATAAGCTTATGACAAACATGTAATCAGAATCAGTCATTATTAAAACAATTACTAACTTTTATTTTAATACCACAAGTTGAATTATGTCATCTAAAGACTGCTCTGTTCACATCTTTGTAGGTCACCAACCACATTTCATACCTTTAAGCAATATCTTTAACAATCATTTTCCCTTCTATGCTTACCAACAAAAAATTATCATAAAAGGATTAATTCTATGCTAAAGTCAGCATTGTTTCATATTACAGTTTTCATAAACTTTTCAATTAATTTATTGTTATCATATAATTTTCAAAAGCACAAAGTATTTCAAAGGTCTATTTCATAAATCATGTAAGAAACTTGATATCAGAGACATAATGGTACCACAGGCTTAGGTATTGAAAGTCTGTGCTGGTAGGCCTACTGAAAATGAAACTAAAATGCAAACCGTCGATTCTAGAATTATGTCAGAAATCGGTTCACTTTCAAATACATGATCATATATGTAAAACTGATATCTTTCATAGAATGACTGAAAACGTTTAACCATCTTTTTAGTTATGTTGTAGAATTAAAGCCTTATTGCAACATTTTTGTGTTTTCTTTTTTATCTCTTTATCTTATATACATGTATTTATAAAATATCAGCATCAACAACAACATGAATTTATTTCAAAACGCAATTTATATCCTTTCTATGGAGGTGTATGTGCGTTCTTGGGTCTCCATTTGGTCCAGAT